AGCACAATTGAGCAAGAGACTGCTGAACTCACATACGTCATAAAATTTGGGGCTATCACAGAAGATCTCAAGAAAACAATGGTTTTTTAATACATTGCAATTGTTAATTGATAAGGTTCTTGCAGTTGTCTCACATGTAACCAAGATCTGCATAGCCACCCTGCCTTCCCTACCCGTTTTTGCCTCCACCCCTCATCCCAGTTTAAATCCTATATCAGTTTAGTCACTCCATGCATCTGAGGAGCTGTAGTTTACAATAGCTTATGCCTTTTAATAAAATTTGTTAGTCTGAAAAGATGATATTGATTTTTGGCTAACATAGACTAACATGGTTCTTCTCCTACAATGTCTAAACTAGGAAAGAAAGTAGAAGGAGAATAAGTTAGCCTGGTAAACCCTAATGTATCTGGAGTACCCCATTCTCATAATTTGCAAACTTTTGAACTCAAGAGCTATTGGAAGTCATGATGCGGGGGGAGGGTGCTTCTGTGCAATTATAGAAGTTGAGTATTGGGATTTTGAATCACTTGAGAGAGAGAATATTTGAAGAAGGTTACAGTTTGAATTATTTCTAAAATTGCAAGGGTTACAAAAATGTACCGAAATGCCATGAAAACATGCAATTCAATCTCTTTGTTTGCAGTGATGGAGGGTTATGTTGGTGGTATGGAATATATAGAACCCAAAAAGATGATGGCAATCATGCTGGCAACTGTTGTTGCCAGAACAATGGCAGAAAACATGTTGTAATCCTCAGACAAACAGAGTGATGCAAGAGGAAGCAGCGATGTCCTCTGGCATCTTCTCTGATTAAAACAAATGACTTTTAAGGATTTTTCCCCCCTCAGGTTAGTGGTGGATATGTCATAGAGCTCTTGATCATGATATTACTGAAATAAACTCTAAATAAGCAAGAGACATTGGGCTTATAAGGCAGAGATACCACATACAAGTGGACATGTTCATGACAAATTAAGCTTGGGTGTCATCTAAACATGGTCAGTGAGTTGCCCAAGGCCTTCTTTGATCTTGGTCATGCAAAACTTCTGTTCATAGGTTAACTCTGTAAATGGTTCAGAGTGTTAAGACAAGGTCTGAGAGTAATGGCAAAGAAAGCAGCTGGAGAAAATCGGTCATTAGATCTTTTCTGAAGAGAAGAAACATAAACAGACTCAAGAGGAAGCAAAGATGAGTGGCCATATGTATAATTTGGGCTGTGACTCTGAACACACAAACAAACACACTTTTTTCAGAGTTCACTAAGGCTAATATCTAGCCTACAGATCATGCTGACTATTTTATAATGCTATGATTTATTGGAGTCCATTTTTGATCTATCATTTTTCATTGCATAATACATAATGTCTCCAAATATGTCTTCAGATTTCGTGTTTGATAAGCAAAACTGCTAGTTGTAAAAACACACATGTCCCATAGTAGAACATTTGTAGTTTATCAGTGAGAACTTACAGAATAGTTTTATTCACCCCTCCTCATCCCTCACCAGTGCTCTTACATTAAGTTCTTGATTATAAGCTGTAGGGATTAGTACCCTTTTTCTCTAATTTCTGTACTCTCTGAATGGCTGCAGAAGGTCTGTATTTTTGTCAAATTGGTCCTCAGAGGAGCCTACAATCTGATTTGCATGAAAGACAGCCATGATTATTTAACTGCCTTTGATTCTCATTATCAGAGGTTTGATTATACAGTAATAGCCTTTGGACTGGTTAAGCCCCATCAGACTTCAGGTGATTTATGAGTCGTCATTCCCACAATTTGGGGACAAATTTTTGATTGTGCATGTCATAGGTCCTTCCAATAAGGGATATTAGCAACCAGGCAGGAAATAAGGGCTTTAGTACAAAGAAATGGCTTTATTATGCAGTTATATACAACATATATGAGATACTTGCATCAAATAATTTAAAGTAATGTGAGAGGAAAATTATTAGTACCCATTAATATGTTTTAATGTTAATTTTGATTACATTTA